ATCTCGGTTCATCTTCTCCTGCCCTCAGACTGGGATTTACATCCTAGGCTGCTCCAGTTCTCAGGCCTTCGGACTTGAACTGAATGGCACCACTGGCTTTCGCAGGTCTACAGCTTGCAGACAGAAGATCATGAAACTTCCCAGCCTCTATAATTGTGTGGGCCAATTCCTTGTAATAAATCTCCTTTTATAGCTCTATGTAGCCTGTTGATTCTATTTCCCTGGAGAACCCTAACTAATACAGTCGTTCATAACAAAAGCTCTCAGAAAACTAGGAATAGAGGGGAACTTCCTTAACTAGAGAGATGAAAAGCATCTATAAAAAACCCACAGCTAACGTCATACTTAATGGTGAGAAACTAGAAGTTTTCCCAGTTAAATTAGGAATAAGGCAAGGATATTCCTCTCATCTCTCTTTTTCAAGATTCTACTGGAAATCCTAATTAAGGCAACAACAACACAGAAAAGGTATATAAGATTGAGAAGGAAGAAATAAAATCATCTTTGCAGACGCCATGATTACCTATGCAGAAAATCTGAAAGAACTGACAGAAAAACTCCTGTAATTAATAAGCAATAACAACAAGATTGCAGGATTTAAGGTAACTATACCAAAGTCAATTTCTTACCTATATATCAGCAATGAAATAAAAAGAACTTGAAATTTAAAACAACACCATTTACATTGTCACCCAAAAAATGAAATACTACTGAGCCATAAATCTAACAAAATATATATAAGATCTATATCAGGAAAACAATAAAACTCTCATGAAAGAAATCAAGTAACTAAATAAATGGGGAGATAGTCCATGTTCATGGCTAGGAAGACGCAATATTGTCAAGATGTCAGTTCTTCCCAACTTGATCTATAGATTCAATGCAACCCTAGTGAAAATCCTGGCAAATTCCATTGTCTGAATATACTGCAATTTATTAATCCATTTGCCTGCTTAATGACATCCTGGTTGCTTCCAATTTTTAGCAATTATTAATAAAGCTGCTATAAACATCTTTATTTTATAATTAAAATTATTTTGTAGATGTCAACAAACTGACTTTAAAGTTTACACAGACAGGCAAAAGACCCAGAATAGACGACACAAGTAACAGTCAGAAGACTGACACTATCCAACTTCAAGACTTACTGTAAAGCTACAGTAATCAAGACATTATGGTATTGGTGTAAGAATAGACAAATATATCAATAGAACATAATAGAGAGCCCAGAAATAAACCCAGATAAATATAGCCAACTGAATTTTGACAAAGGAGCAAAGGCAAAACAATGAGGAAAAGATAGTCTTTTCAACAAATGGTGCTGAACAACTGGACATCTACCTGCAAAAAAATCAGTCTAAACACAGACCTTACACCCTTTACAAAAATTAACTCAAAATGAATCATAGGCCTAAATATAAAATGTAAAATTATAAACTTCTAGAGGATAACATAAGAGAAAATCTAGATGATGTTGGGTAGGGTGACGACTTTTTAGATCTAAGACTAAAGGCACAATCCTTAAAAAAAAAATTGATAAGCTAGACTTCATTAAAATTTCAAAATTTCTGTTTTTCTAAAGACACTGTCAAGACAATGAGACAAGCCATACACTAGGAGAAAATATTTGCAAAAGACATATCAACCCAATTTAAAAATGGGCAAAAGAACCAGACAGACACCTTACCAAAGATACACAGATGGCAAATAGGCATATAAAAAGATGCTCCACATCGTATGTCCTTAGGAAAATGCAAATGCATTTCCTCATAGAAAAACAATGAGATACTACTACATACCCATTAGAATGGACAACATCCTGAACTGTGACAATACCAGTTGCTGGCAAGATGCAGAGAACAGAAACTCTGATTCACTGCTGACAGGAATACAAAAGGCACAGGCACTTTGGAAGACAGTTTGGCAGTTTCTTACAAAAATTAACATATTCTTACTATATGATCCAGCAATTGCACTCCTTGGTATTTATCCAAAGGAGGTAAAAACTTATGTCCATTCAAAACCTATGCATGATCTTTATAGCAGCTTTATTTGTAATTGCCAAAACTTGGAAGCAACCAAGATGTCCTTCAGCAGGCGAGTGGATTAATAAACTGTGGTTTTTTCTAGACCACAAATTATTTAGCAGTAAAAAGATAGGAGCTATCAAGCCATAAAAAGACACTGAGAAGCCTTAAATGCTTATTACTAAGTTAAAAAAAAAAAAAAAAGCCAATCTGAAAAGGCTACATTTTGTATGATTCGAAGAAAAGGCAAACATATGACATTCTAGAAAAGGTAAAACTATGGCCACAGTAAAAAGAGTAGGAGCTACCAGGGGTTGAGGCAGGGGGAGGGAAGGATAAGTAGCCGAAGCACAGAAGAGTTTTAGGGCAGTGAAACTGCTCTATATGATACTACAATGGTGGATATGGGTCATTACACATTTCTTAAAACCTAAAGAACGTACACCACCAAGAGTGAACCCTATTGTAAAGTATGGACTTTGGGCGATAATGATATGTCAGTGTAGGTTCATCAATTGTAACAAACGTACCCCTCCAGTGCTGGATGCTGCTAGTTGGCGAGGCTGTGTGTGTATAGGAGCATGGGGTATTATGGGAGCTCTCTGTACTATCTGCTCAATTTTGCTGTGAACCAAAAACTGCTTTTCTTGTTGTTCTGTTTTTGAAACATGGTCTTGCTGTGTTGTCCAGGCTGGTCTCAAGCTCTTGAGTTGAAGTGATCCTACTGCCTCAGCCTCCCAAGTAACTGGGACTACAGGAGTGCACCACTATGCCTGGCTTTAAAACGACTTTTAAAAAATAAAGTATATTCAAAACGGGAGGTAGGGGGAATCTCACAGAACAGTGAGAGATAATAAAAGGTGGTTGTTTCTTTAAAACACAAAGCTTCAGGATAGCTTGTTGTGCAGAAATAGGTAATGAAGATACCCTTCTATGGAGGAGACTGCCAATGGACTGCTCATGTCCCTTCTTGCTTTCTCTACAATAGAATCCGTGTGCTTTGGCTGGATAAATGACCTCCCAACCAGAGATTACATTTCCTAGCTCCCCTCTCAGTGAATGTGGTCACAGGACTAGGTTCTGGTGAGTAGTACTTGAATAGATATGATATAAGCCACTTTCAAGTCAAGTTCTCAAAGGGAGAGAGCCTGTCCTCCCCTTCCCTTCCATCCTTCCTGCTGATCAAAGAGCAAACTTGACAACAAGAGCTAGAGCAGCTACCTTACAGAAGGTGGGACATGTTGAAGACAGCAGGGGAACATGGGAGAAGGAACCAGAGTCTCTGATGCTAGCTAGACACCACACTAGCTGTGAACTACAGTTACTCTGGAGGCTAAGTTTCTGCAGCCAAGCTTGTTTTCTAAATATCCTATCTCATAGGGCTGCGCTAAAGATCAAGTGAGACAAGGTACATGAAGTATCTAACACGGAGCCTGACACAGAGCAGGTTAGTTCCTCTTCACAAGCTCTGAGAGCTCAGAGGCTCCAGCAAGAGAAAGCAGCCACTTCGACAGCCTTGCCCAAAGAACCCTGCTCATCTCCTTTAGATGGTCATTTCCTGCAACCAAGTCCATGGCTACGAATGGGACACATTCAGAATGCAGAGGAAGATCAACCCTGGTGATCCATAGAGTAGCAGATGCTGAAGGCAGAGCATTCTCAACTGTACTTCCCAAAACCTACCTTTGTCATTTTAAATGACTGCACTACTTTCAATATGCTGTCCTGTCTTCAAGATAAGGTCCAAACTCCTTGGCCAAATATACAACCCATGTCTTTCACAACCTATCCCTGCTCTTTGATCTAAGCTCAACTCTTTCACTCCCCATCACACTCTGCACTCTAGGCCTGATGAATGGTTTCTAGTTCCCTGATGATGGTAAGCTATCTCCAACATCATTTGCCTGCAAACTTAACTCTGTTTAGAGTTCCTCTGCTCACTTCTCTACTTGGCTGACTCTTGCTCTTCTTAAGACAAGGCTCAGTAATCACTATCACCTCAAGGACACTCTCGCTACCTATGGCAGAGACTGCTCAAGGACCCTCCAAAATTCTTTCTCTTTCTTCCATAACATGAGAAGTTTTAGGCTGGGTGCAGTGGCTCACACCTGTAATCCCAGCACTTTGGGAGGCTGAGGCAGGAGGATCACCTGAGGTCAGGAGTTCGAGACCAGCCTGGCCAACATGGTGAAACCGCATCTCTACTAAAAATACAAAAATTAGCCAGGCGTGGCAGTGGGCGCCTATAATCCCAGCGGCTGAGGTAGGACAATTGCTTGAATCCAGGAGGCAGAGGTCGCAGTCAGCCGAGATCGTGCCATTGCACTCCAGCCTGGGTGACAAGAGTGAAACTAGGTCTCAAAAAAAAAAAAAAAAAAAAGTAGTTTTAGGTAGCACATAGCCACCAAGCTAACGACTATTTCCCAGCCTCCCAGCTATGCCCGTGGGACTCAGTGCTGGCCAATTGGGAGTGAGCAGGAGTGACTAGTGCTCCCTGCCAAACTGCCACTAAAATAAAGGAGGGCCCCCATTCTCCTTCATATGGGCAGGGATGTGACCTGATGATGATTTATCTCCAGCACTCAGACAAAGGCAACGCACTAAAAATGACAGAACAAGAAGATAAAACGAGCCCGGGTCTCATATGTCTGAGAGGAGTAATGATGAAAGAGAAATTTAAGAGTTTACTTTGAATTCTGAATGCAAATCCCTCCATGGCCTTCAATAGCCTTTGAATCAAACCCACCAATTATAGAAGACAAGCCACAGCATCACCTAAAAGACCAAGGATTAGGGTAGAAAACTTAATGGACTCAGGTCACTGATTCAAACTATCCAAGACAGGGGGAAGCAAATCAAGGCCCACATCATCTGACACTATTGGATCATCTTCTTGAATCTTCCACCTCTGCTCCTTTTTTTTGACAGGAGTTTCCTTGTTTGATAGAAGGTGAGAAAAGCTTGGGGCCTTACCTCTGGAGACTTTGTAAACTTCATAGAAGGAATAGAAGTGGAAGCCTAGTGAGGCAAGTAGGTAAAGTGCCAGTTCCCATCGGGGCAGCATGGCTCCTAGGCACGAAGATTCCCGATGCCCACGCTGAGAGTTTCTGAGAAAGAGACAAAACATTAAGCCATGAACATGGCACTAGAGAACAGCATCTTAACATCAATTCAGTTAGTTCACACTCCCCGAGACCATCACTATTCGAGGTGATACAGACATAACCCCAATAAAGCCTCCTCCTCCCTGTGACCTTACTCCCTCCTGCATCCAAAAAACACACGCACGCGCACACGCACACATACACCACACACACGCATCCTTCCTGTCAAAGGGGTCAGGTCTTTTCCTAGGGGTTCCCACAGCCTCCCATCAGAGTATACATCAGACAGTTCTCTACTCATTGCATAACATACCTGTCCCTTCTGTGGAGTGAACCTCAGATAGCAGGGACCATGATCGCTGACTCCCCAGCCCCTAGCGCAGTGCCTGGAATGTAGCAAGAAGGGACTACCATGTGCTTTGTGAATAATAAATGGCTTCAAAAAGTCTGAAAAGCACAAACAATATCCAAACCTCTAAGCCAACAGGCTCACCATCCTTGTTGTCCCTTTCAAGTAGCATACTATAGGCCAAGCATGGTGGCTCATGCCTGTAATCCCAACACTTTGGGAGGCCAAGATGGATCACTTGAGGCCAGGAGTTCAAGACCAGCCTGGGCAAAATAGCCAGATCCCATCTCTAAAAAATATAATAAAAACTTAAAATCAGCGGGGCACGGTGGCACACACCTGTTACCCCATCACTTTGGGAGGCCAAGGCAGGTGGATCACTTGAGGCCAGGAGTTTGAGACCAGCCTGGCTAACACAGCAAAACCTGTCTCCACTAAAAATACAAGAATTACCCAGGCGTGGTGGTGCTTGCCTGTAATCCCAGCTACTCAGGAGGTTGAGGCAGGAAAATCACTTGAATCCAAGAGGCTGAGGTTGCAGTGAGCCAAGATTGTGCCACTGCACTCCAGCCTGGGTGACAGAGTGAGACCTTGCCTCAAAAAATATATATAAGAAATCAAGTACCATCCTGCAGTTGATTATCAGAATGGAATACTATAAACCTCTCTGTCTGCCTTGCATCTACGCACTTTATTTATGTATTTTTGGAGACAGGGTCTATGTTGCCCAGGCTGATCTTGATTTCCTGGTCTCCTCAGCCTCCTGAGTAGCTGGGGTTATAGGCACAAGCCACTGTGCCAGGCCTCATCCATACATTTCTTAAAGGGCAGTTAATGACATAACCACAGGCATCTGTGACAGACACTGCTTGTTACCCACTGCCCCTCACTACCCCTTTTCAGAATTCAGTCTCTCTTCTCACACAGCAATTAAAATTTCCTCTGGACACCAACACTACACTGTAGCTAAGTGTGGACACCTGAATAGCTCCATTCAAAAGGATGTGAGTGAAGGGACATGGCTGTGGCCATCTGTTTCTTTCCCTCCCTTTCCTGTTGAACAGAATTGGAACAGCCACCATGGATGAAGAGGTGAAAGCCACATGGACAAGACAGAGGCCTCTCAGTCCCCAAATCCATGTACTACCCCCAACCCCCAAAGTGCCCCAGACTACTTAGATCTAGACTGTTACAGGAAAAAGAAATGCATTTCTAGGTTGTTGAAGCCTCTCCTATTCTAGATCTCTCCATCATGGCAGCCATGACTATATTCTAAGTAATAGAGAAGGTACAGGAAAGTTAGATCCTAAAATTCAGCAAATTAAATGATTCCAAATGTTCCAACTAACAGAGTTCACTAAATTTAAACCCATTTATGGCCTTTACTGCTTTACTTAAACCTCTCAAATATGTCTGTCTCACTGTGGATGCCAAACTAAGAGCAAAATTTTAAGCCGCACCCCCCTCCCCAACCCCACCAACTACTTCTAACATGTGACAGTAATGCCAAAACCCAGAATTCACACATTATCTCATTTTGTTTTCACAACAGCCTGGTGAAGTAGGTGGAAGTGGAACAGGGGAGGTAGGCATTTTATAGATGACAAATGTGATGAGGTCACAGAGCCAGAAATAACTGAGCCAGAGCAGAAAAGCAAATACTGCATGATCTCACTTACATGTGAAATCTAAAAAAAGTCAAACTCACAGAAGTGGTGGTTGCCAGGGGCTGGGGGGAAGGGGGGAAGATGCTGGTTAAAAGATGTTGGACAGGATGAATAAATTCTGAGGATCTATCATACAGCATGGTGATTATAGTTAACAATAATGTATTATAGTCTTGAAAAGTGCTAAGAGTAGATCTTAAATGTTCTCATCATAAAATGATAAGCAGGTAAGGTGATGGGTATGTTAATTACCTTGATTTAATCATCTCACAATGTATAGCTAGACATCACATTGTACACCATAAATATGCACAATTTTTGTCTAAATAAATGAGTAAACAAATAAGTAAATAACTGAGCCAAGGCTCAAAGCCAAGTCTTTGGACCCAGGCCCCTGCCCGTCCACTCTGCCACGGCCAATCCCATTAATGCCAGTGTACAGTGACTCAGACTTAGAGCCTGACTCAGAATCTGCCACACACAAACTCCTTTCTTCAGGCCACTGGGAGACAGAGCAGGAAGGGAAATAAACTTCAGCTTTGATAAACCATGATTTGAGAAATAAGCGGTCTTGCACCCAGAGTGCCCCATTTCATTACCTAAAAGTCACCCAGGAAGTTTGGTCTGGACTTTTCCTGCAACCTAAGAGATCCGGAAGCAGTCATTCATGCTTTAAAACACATGCCTAAACCCTAGTATTTCAATAACACGTTCTCAAGTTCCTTACTATTTTTCAGAACTACTTCTAGCTTTATCCATTTCTACTCACAATTTATTTTTAAATACTTTCATCTTCAGAATAACAAGACTCCTTTCTGGAACTTTTCCGGAATTTGATAGGCTTCCCCTTAGTGGGAAGGTAATTTTAACTTCTTGGTTTATAATTTAATGTCTCGCCTGTCAAAAGATGTTGGTATTACATCGGATGACCTCTTTGCCTCATGAAGAATCTGATTAACAAAAAGCTGATCTTCTAAAAGGATTGAAATTTGAACACAAATGATCTTGTAGACTAAATGAAAGTTTTAGAAGGCTTGCCATTAGATGCTTTTCAGGGACATTCTATCTGAGACAATTCTCCTGCATTAAGGATTTAATCCTCAGGGAACTAGAAAATTCGGTTTAATAATTTTTCATTTTGGTGCTTTTTTTTTTTCTTCCTGGAGACAGGGTCTTGCTCTGTTGCCCAAGCAGGAGTGCAGTGGCATGATCTCAGCTCCCTGCAGCCTCAACTTCCCAGGCTCAAGTGATTCTCCTGCCTCAGCCTCCTGAGTAGCTGGGATTACAGGCACACACCACAACGCCAGGCTAGTTTTTTTGTTGCCCAGGTTGGTCTCAAACTGCTGAGCTCAGGAGATCTGCCCGCCATGGCCTCCCAAAGTGCTCGGATTACAGGCGTGAGCCACTGCACTCAGCTTAGTGCTGCTCTTAGCTGGATTATACAATGAGTCCTTATTTAACATCACTAGTAGGGTCTTGGAAATTGTAACTTTAAGCAAAACAATGTATAATGCAACTAATTTTTACCATAGGCTAATTGATATAAACAAAAGGTAAGTTCCTACTGCATATTTCTGGTCACAAAAATACCAAACATCTAAAGACCAAAACACTTCTAAGAGTAAACACTGAAATAAACATGAGCTATACATACACTTAAAGATTAATAAGCACAGGTAAGATCATTATTTACCCAAGTTTGATCTATCAGCAAGTGATGGCAGTTGTACTGGTGGTGGGTTAAACCAAGGAATAAAATGTTTGCAAAGCAAAAATTATAAGGAGCACCTCCTGCCACCATGCAGTTCAAAACATTTACAATTAGGGTGGGCTCACTGAGAGCTTCCATACTACATTTTTTTGTCATGCATCTGTATGATTATCATAGACTTTACAAATTTTTATTAGAGAATATTTATGCATTCATTTTCCACCCTACTTGTTCCAATTTAGGGTCTCTGGTAGCTGGAGCCCATTCCAGCAGCTCAGGACGCAAGGCAGGAACCAACGCTGGACAGGATGCCATCTCAGCGCAGAACCCACTCATACTCACACCCCCACACTCATTACCAAACACAGGTTCAGCTGCTCACCACTTGCAAAACAAATTAGCAAGATAGAGGTATAGTAGAAAGAAAGTGACTTGATTACAGACCAAAGCTAGCAACGGGCAAGACGGTCTAGACTCTTGCCTTAATGGAACCACTTCAAATTTCCAAGCGAAGTGCAAAGGCTTAAGAAGGGGAAGGCAGGCTGGGCGCAGTGGCTCACGCCTGTAATCCCAGCACTTTGGGAGGCCGAGGCAGGCAGATCACAAATTCAGGAGATCAAGACCATCCTGGCTAACACGGTGAAACCCCATCTCTACTAAACATACAAAAAATTAGCCGGGCGTGGTGGCGGGCGCCTGTTGTCCCAGCTACTCAGTAGGGTGTGGCAGGAGAATGGCGTGAACCTGGGAGGCGGAGCTTGCAGTGAGCCGAGATCAGGCCACTGCACTCCAGCCTGGGCGACAGAGCAAGACTCCGTCTCAAAAAAAATAAAATAAATAAAATAAAAATACATAAATAAATAAAAAAGAAGGGGAAGGAAGTTGTGGCATGGGGTGAGGCAGTGCAGGCCTGCATGACTTGTTCCGATGACTCTTCTTGAATTGTTGCTCCATCTTGTGAATGGGCTGGCATCATCTGGGGCTCAGCTGGGTTGTAAATTGACTGTAGCCTTGAAGCCATCTCCTGGTAGGGGAGATTTTCACAGGTGTCTGCGCTGTATCAAGGTCTAGTCTCTGGAACCTCGACTTCAGGCTGAAGGAGCCTAAAGACCCGACTGAAAGCAGATAACAGTGGCCCCAAAGGCTCCCCAAAACGGGAGGCAATTGCAGGGATTCCTAGGAATGTCTGGCTTTTGTTGAATTTGAATTCCAAATTTGGGGTTGACGGCTAAGCCAATTTATGAGGCCTTTCAAAGGGACTAGATTCAAAGCCCCCAACCTTGGACAGATGAACATCAACAGGCATTCGATGCCATCACAGAAAAACTTAATAGGGTGCTCGGTTACACTCACACACTGGGACCATTTAGACACACCAATTCACCTAATGGGCACAGCTTTGGGATGTGGGAGGAAACCGAGTAGCCAGAGAAAACCCCTGCAGATATAGCGAGAATGTGCAAACTCCACAGACAGTGGCCCCAGCAGAAACTCCATTTTCTTCTATTCAGTGGTATAAGGAAACAATAACAGTTTCAATAATGCTACATGTTTTGTAGACATATGCACAAAGATACACAGTAACTAGCAGCAAAACAGCAGGTAACGAAGCAGCAAAACTAGCTGTCCCCTCACCCCCAACATTTAGGGATTGAACCAAATAGTCTCCACCTGACAGCACAGTGATAAATTCTGGCACCAAACCCACCTGTGGGGTCGGGGGAGGAAGGGTGGGCAGGTGCGGGGGGAGTCCCAGGCTCTGTCATTTATTGGTTGAGGAAACTTGGGTAAATAATGGCCTCCCAAATGTTTTCTCATAGGGTTGTTGAGGGGTTAAATGTAAAATGCTTAGCCCAGGGCCTGGCAGTGAATAAGCACTCAACAAACATCAGCAGTTACTAGTGAATTTCATTCATCAGGAGCCTACCTAGCCCAGACCCTGATTTTCCCCCTGAATCAAAGAAATCTGGCTGACCTTCCAAGGGTGTGCCCATCCTACCTGCATCTGGACCTCTTTCAGGACGTTGGCATCCCCAGGGCTTTCGTTAATGTCTCCTTCCTCTTCTGACGCCCAATCCAAGGCCACCCTGGATAGCAAGCAAACTATCCCTGGGGGCCACCTGCAAGCTTTCAGCCCAGTGCCTCTTCCTCACCACCTACCTCTCTGCTACCCTCAAGGGAACGATGGGCATTCCACTTTCATTTTCACCACTCTCCATTACACGAATGCCACCTCAAAACACCACCACCGCACAGACACTCCCCCACCCTCCTTAACAGACCTTTCTTCCTCACACCTCTCTTTTCAACTCTTGCCTGTAGCTGACTGCCATAGTTACTACTTGAGACTGTCATTACGACAGTCACTACTGTTACTACTTGAGATCGTCATTACAACAGTTACTACTGTTACTACTTGAGACCATCATTAGGAGACTAAAGGAAGGAGGATGAAGGCAGAAATGAAAACTTAAAACAAAAGTAACTATTTTCAAGGAAGGGGCCGGGGAAGAAGAGAGCTCCCTGCTTCTAGTGAGCAAAAGCAGCAACCTCCAGCTTCTACAGCCCTTTGTTTTTATTGGGTAGAAAGAGCAGGGAGGAGGAGGTAACGACTGGTCAGCTGCTTGATTGATCACAGGTTCACATTATTGCTAACAGGCTTCAGATTTGCCTAATCACAAGAAACACTGTGCCTGGGTGGTGACTGTCCCCAGCATTCCTTCTGGGAGGCAGACACAGTTTGTCAGTTTGCCAACAACCTGCTTTCATGAGAAACAGTTTGCTGTTTACTCATATAGCTTCCAGTGGTATACTAAGTTGATCACGACCCTCATTCTTTCAGCCTTCAACACTTGCCCACTTATCTCAGGAAAATTATTTCCCTACTTTGTTTTCCCTGTTTATTTCAGCTGTGCAGCCAGAAAGTAAATCAGAGTAGATATCTCTTAAGGGATTTATGACACAATGAAAAGGAAAAGGAAAAAGAAAAGGAAAGCTGTATATTTGGGAATATGACCGGAACCTTTTTAAAATGTCCAGGCCCTTAGAGGTTCCCAAAAAGTCTCTCAGAAAATTATCAAGTGTCCATTTCTCATGCTCTAAACAAGCATGTCCCTCTTTAGGCAGAGCTATCTGAAATCAAGGAGATTCTTACTAAAATGTGTAACTGATGCTTCTTTTCTGTTTTCATGCAGTCAGTCCTGCACCAATATTATCAGCTAAGTGGGTAGCTGTGAGATAGCCTAGAAAAGTCATCACCACTTACAGCATCATTTCTATAGAAAACAGCCAATCTATAGTGACATAGCCTGTGTTTAAGTAGCAGTCTACCTGATTAATCTACATAAATGAGATTGCACTATTGATATGTAAGAGTGATTGGGTTGTTGGGATGTGTGATGGTGAGATGTGTCTACGAACACTTTCCCAGTGTGGGAATACTGGTCAGAACTGTAAAGAAGAGAAAGTGTGGATGGTTCAGGGAAGGGAGAACAGGAGCCAAGTGGTAAGGAGTCTTAAAACATACGATTTCACGTTTAGATTTTATTTCCTGCAGAACCTCAGGCTTGCAAGCCAGTACGTAAAATTATTCGAACGAAGCTCTACAAAGCAGTGCCTTGATGCTGTGGTAGACCCAAGAGGCAGGAAGGTGGATGATTTAGGCCCTTAGTGAAAGTGGAGAGAGTGCTGGAACCAAGCCACACAGATGGGGAAAAATTAAGTTGTCCCTGGCATCAAACTAGTCCAGAAGTTGGTAGGGGGAAAAAAAGAGGAAGATAAAGAAGATAAAACAGCAACTCCAAAGCTGTAAGACAACAGGATCTCGAAGTTAAATGTTGAAAAGAGTGAGAATTTCGAGGCAAGTGAGGACAAAGCGATAGAACATGCCTTTAATATTAGACATTAAAGGAAATCATAGCAAAGGTTTCCCTGGAATCAGACGGAAGGAATTCAGACTGGAGTAATAGGGAGCTTTCTCCACCTGCAAATTGGGTACAAACACCCCAAAGTTGAATATTTCAAAAAATATATTTATCTGGGAATTATAGAACTCAAGAGGGTCACAGAATAAAATCTTAGCTATAAAATGGCAAGAATCTCTCAGCTAACAGAGCTTTTTCTATACTGGAGCTACTTACATTTGCGTTTACTTTGGAATTACCCTCCACCTGCTTTCAAAGTTGCCATCTACTCTGATCCTCACAGGAGGGCTAAGCTTTTAGAGCCCTTTCAGGAATCAGAATCCTGCTTGGGAAGAAGCAGCGATCTGCCCATGGACAGAGAAGCCAGCAATGAAGCAAAAATTAGAACCAAAATTCCCAACCCCCGCTGTCATACAGGCAGAAATCCGGTTCCTTGATCTTGGAAGAAAAGCACAGCTCACCTTGCCAAACCCTGAAACATGCATAAACATAATGGCTGCAAGATGGTTTTCCCCCAGCAACTTCCAATATCATTCAAAAGTACTTTAGCTTTAGTTCTGATGCAGGCAACTAATGGATTCCAACACTTCCATTTTAAATTTTTTCTGCTTTTAAATCTTGATATCAAGCACTAAATGGGCTATAACCCAATATTCACACGCACCAGAAGACTTTAATAAGACAGCTCTCATCATTAAGCTAACAATCCCCCCACACCAGCATCACCATCGTCACTTCTACTGACTAACTGCTTAATGTCCTAAACGAAGATTTCCCTCTACTGAGTTTTCTTATGCTTTAGTAATAGCTGTACTATAACAAGTACTATTTACGGATTTCCTATGCTGAAAAGGCACTTTACAAGCATTATCTCACTTAATCTTCATAACAACCCTTTGAGGTTGGTGCTTCTGATAACCTCACTTAACACAAGAGGAAACCAAGGCCCAGAAAGGATAAAGAAACCTGCCCCAAATCACATAGCTGGTAGGTGGCAAAGCTTAAATTCATACCCACTGAGTCTAACTGCAGAGCCTTCCCTCAGCCACCTCACTATTCTTAGAGTGTACTGGATTCATTTTCCAAAATCTATAATGAAATCAATCCATTAGGAAAGCCAGAAGGTAATATAAGTGGTCTAAGTGTAATAGAATTTTTAAACGTTATGCATAACATTAGACACTCTATGATGAAAAAAATTTTAAATCAATGAAATGTAATCAAAATACACATGAAACATCTAACTCACGTACATTCCTTAAAAGATTTACTGAAAAAGGCAAACTAAACCAAACCGATCTACCTTGTAAGTAAGAGGGGAAAGTCAGCAGTTATGCAGAGATAAGAGTAAAATTGAAATAGGTCTAAATTGAGGAACAAATGAGCACTCTGGAAACCACAAGTAATAACAGTGAAAGAAGCACATGCCCACTGAAATGACAATGGCTTTAAAGAAAATGAAATAGTAGTGCAATATTCTAGCATATTCGGAAAAAGTGGTATGACACTTTTGCCTTTTCCAGAGTCCAATTTTCATGAAACGGAACCCCATTTTATAGACTCTAAATTACATGATTTTCTCCAAGAAAACCACCAAGTCCAGATTCCCATATCACAATTCTCTCCAAACCCGACTTCAGTCTTTTTTTTTTTCTCTCCTTTTCTGAGACACAGTCTTGCTCTGTCCCTCAGGCTGAAGTGCGCTGGCATGATTCCAGCTCACTGCAACCTCCACTTCCTGGGCTCAAGCAATTCTCATGCCTCAGACTGCTGAGTAGCTGGGATTACAGGTGCACACCACCATGCCCTGCTAAGTTTTCTGTTTTTAGTAGAGATGGGGTTTTGCCATGTTGCCCAGGCTGGTCTTGAACTCCTGGCCTCGAGTGATCCTCCCGCCTCAGCCTCCCAAACTGCTGGAATTACAGGTGTGAGCCACCGTGCCCGGTCCCCACATAAGACTCTTGTAAAGACTCTTATCCTTCAACACACATAATACTAAGAGGAAATACTTCTCCAAACCCAGAAAGGTTTCACCAACACAGAAGAATGACTAGATAGACTGAAAGAGGTCCACTGGACTGGGGAAAAAGTCTAATTACAGAATAGTTTAAAATGCCCACTACTTCCAAATCCACACCAACATATTATGTATCAGTTATGTATTGCTGCATAAGAAACCATCACAACATGTAGTTCCTTACAACAATAAACATTTATTCTTTTTAAGGATTTTGTGGGATGTCAGTCTAGATAGTTCTATTCATGTCCCTCCTGGGGTCACTCATGTCACTTCTGTCATCACACAACTCCACTGGGGCTGGAGGGGGCCATGATGACCTCATGCACACGTCTGGCATTTGGCGCCAGCTCACACAAGGCTCCTCCCTTCTCCTCCAGGCCAGGGCTCCTCCTCTGGTAGGCTAGACTCGGCTTTTTCACAGCAGTGGGGCTTCAGGGTACCAAAAGAACAGAGGCAAGAGGTGCAACATCCCTTAAGGACCAGGCTCCAGAGTTCACAGAACACTTTATTGGTCAAAGCAGGTCCAAAACCCAGCCTGGATTCAAGGAGGAGAAAAGAGACCATACTTCTTTATGGGAGGAGCAGCAAGGGTACCTTAAAAAGGGGTGGGGACACATCTACCACACCAGGTATATTATAAATAGTTACTCATCCATAAAATCTGGAAAATTAGTTGAAAAGATACCTTTCACAATGGATCTTTATTACATAACATGTCACAAAGGTTGTTCCCTCTCTTCTTATATATGTAGTGAAAAAAATTATGTTCCCAAATCAGAATTTCAAAATCAGTGGGATCTCTGTTGCCATTTGGTCTCATCTCCAGCCAGTTTGGGGAATTCCTTTTATAATAGCCTACTTGACCATTTCCAGTAACATTACAAGGCAGAGAAACACTGTTCCTAAGCAGCTGTTGCTTTTGTTGTTGTTTTTGTTTGGAGACAAGGTCTCACTCTGTCACCCAGGCTGGAATGCAGTGGCGTGATCACAGCTCACTGCAGCTCCAAACTCCTGGGCTCAAGCGATCCTCCTGCCTCAGCCTCCCAGGTGCACACCACTATGCCTGGCTAGCAGTTCTGATTGTTGTGTTTTCCCTTGAAATCTACCCCTGTATTTCTAAAACATACAGATTTCTAAAAAATACAGGGGTGGACTTCCTCTGCCACTAGTCCTCTCCTACCTTCTGGAACTAAAGGCATGGAGACAGCACAGTGTGATATGGTTTCAGGGGTGGCTCTGGAGTCAGAATGCCAAAGATTGAATCCCAGCTTTGCTGCTTCATGCTTGTGTGACCTAGGACAAGGTGCATAACCTCTCTGAGCCTCAGTTTCCTTATCTGTAAAATACAGTAATAGCGAACCTCAGAAGATTGATGTGAGGATTAAGTTAATTTATAAAATGATAAAACAGTGCCTTAGGCATAGTAAACTCTGAAATGCTTATTTGTTGTTTTTAATGCTATTACTGTTGAGTATGCTAAAAAGGCTTTTTTATTCTTTCCAATAATACTCCTTCAAATATTTAAAGATAACTAATGCCATCTACTCCATCTAAACCCTCTTCCAGACTAACATCTATGATTCCTTCAACCATTACTCCAATGACTTGGTTCCAGGTTCCTTTCTGAAACAAGGTCTCACTCTCTGTTGTTCAGGCTGGAATGCAGTGGCACAATCTTGGCTCACTGCAGTCTCAACTTCCCAGTCTCAAGCAATCCTTCCATCTCAGCCTCCCAAGTAGCCAGGACTAGAGACAAAAGCCACTACATCCTTTTTTTTTTTTTTTTTTTTTAAGAAAGGGGGGGGGTCTCACTATGTTGCCCAGGCTGGTCTTGAACTCCCGGGCTCAAGTGATTTTCCCACCTATTCCTGCCAAAGTGCTGGGATTACAAGCATGAGCCACTATGCCTGTCCCCAGATCCTCTGCCTTACTGTCAGTTGTCTCTGTATAATACATGTACCTAAACCTGAACCCAAAGCTTCAGTTGTGTCAGTGGGAGGACAAGACCATCACTTCTCTTCTTTCAGAAACTGCACTCAAATAATGAAATCTTAGACCCATGTCTTCATTCAACAAATACGAATGAACTTCTACTGACAACCAGGAACTGTGCTCTTTGTGAAGACAAAATATAAAGATCCCCTCTGTGGGGTCCACCAAAGATGGGTCCCCTAGAAGTGTCCATGTCCTGATCCCTGGAACTGTGAATATGTTGCCTTACACAGCAAAAGGGACTTTGCCGATGTGATTAAGGATCTTTTGATTGAGAGGTTAGCCTGGATTATCTGGGTGGGCCCGAGGTAATCACAAGGTTCCTTTTAGGAGGGAGGCGGAAGGGTCAGAGACAGAGAGGAAGTGTGAGGTGATGATGGAGGCAGAGGTCAGAGTGGTGTGCTTGGAAGATGGAGGAAGGGCTCCCGGATGAAGGAATCTAAGAGGCATCTAGAGGCTGGAAAAGGCAACAACAGCAAAAAGATTCCTCCCTAGAACCTCCAGAAGAAATGAACCCTGCTGTCATATTTTGGACTTCTGACATCCAGAACCATAAGATAATAAATGTCTGTTGTTTTAAGCCACTGAATTTGTGTTAATTTAGTACAGGTGTAATAGGAAACTCACATGCCACCCCTGCCCTCAGTTAGTTCATGGCCTTATGGGAGGAAAGTACCTAACTGAAAGGATTTATAGAAAACAGATTATTTTTTAATCCACTGGTCATGAACTTTTAAAACTTAAATTGGAAGAAAAGTTTTTTAATCCAGTGGTCATAAACTTTCAAAACTTAAATTGGAAGAAAATTAAATCTGAAAACAAAATTTTCTACTTAATACTCCCTTAGCTTTTATTTCCACCTCACACTGATATCAATCTTATAATCAAACATAACTCTAAGTCTTTTTATATGAAATTCCCTTAAGCCAGATCTCTGCCATTAAAGATTGGCAAAAGGGAGTCAATTTTATAAGTCCCTAATTCAAAAAAAGCTACTGATGCGATATTGCATTCTTTCCCCCTGAAAATTCTCAACCTATTTTAAACCTTTTTAATCAGCAAGGCTCGTGCCCACCACATCTTACACTCCCCAGCCTGGGAGCATCAGAATGAACCTAACTTTTTACAAGGTTTTAAGTAAACTCTATTAAAATATACTTAAATGAAGAAAAAACCTTAAGACTTCCTTTTTACTTTT